GATAATTAATAAATAATAGTGCTCGAATAGGACATAATATGATATCAAGTCGTATCAAGCATAGCCCTTCAAAGAAAAGTTCCTTTTTCAGTTGTATGAAAGAAAGTGTCTCTATCGGGATTCAAACTTGCAGCCTGTCGCTATCAAGGCGAGTGTCATACCATTAGACCGTAAAGACCTATATGGTATATTCGGAAATCTAACCCCATGAACTTTCTCTCATACAACTTACTTATATTTTATGCTTTTGTTAAGATTCGAACCAGGACCTTTTGTTGTATGTCAATTATATACACCCAGGTTACACAACAGCGACCTTACGCTGAACTTAAACCAGTTCATCTACTAATACTACCAGTTGTATAGCCTATTTGGAAATATATATGGTTTGGAGATGTCTTCATATTATGATATCGTTTTAGGCGGGTTTGATATTTTAAATGTTGATCAATACACATCCAAGTTGCATTGCATTGCCTTACGCCACACTGAACGAGCAAATCTACTATCAATTGCAATGTATTGGCATCAAAGGCAAATTTAATCATACACTCAGGGGGAACCGCTAGTCTCTGATGAGTCAATATCACCTCGTGCTTTTACATGTCAATATCACTTTATAACATAGTAAGAAAGGTGAAGCAGGCACTCAGTATAAAAATTCAGACTTGGGTTAATTAATATCGGTAACTCCTACCGAGTGTTGATGTAACAGCCTAAATCTTATTTTTATTTTAGCATGCTACAAATTATGCAGTATTGGCTCATTCCAAATTCAGACACAGATTCATTTTATTCATTATATAAAAACAATATGAAATTGAGAAAAACGGTTTATTTGCATTACGGCTTGCGTAAAGCATGATTCACTATAGACCTCCAACGCCCGTCACAAACACAGTGCGAAAACGCTTGAAATTTAGTGTGTACTGGGAATATGCGCTGTACTATTTCGAGCAGCGAGACTAGAACACGCTCAGAGTTACGTTGCTCAATTTTGTGACAGGTGAGGATGATATATATGGAAGCTTTCGATTGCACGATGACGGTAGGGCCAGAACGTAATTACGTCACTAAGATAAGGTCATCTACGCATGCAAAAACGTTGAGTTTTCGTTGTCGCCTGGATTATAGGACGCAGTCTGGCCCGAATCTACGCTGTGCAAAGAACGCATAACGGTCACGGATGGGAGCTTTCGATTGCACGATGACGGTGGGGCTAGAACGTAATTACGTCACTAAGATAAGGTCATCTAGCGCATGCGAAAATGTTGAGTTTTGTTGTCGCCTGGGTTATAGAACGCAGTCTGGACCGAATCTACGTTGTGCAAAGAACGCATAACGGTCACGGATGATTGAATCCGTTCTAGAATTACATCGTCTCGCAAATTGAAACCTGCAACAAGCTGTGTGCTACTGCGTAAACCAAGCGCAAGGCTAGAAGACGACAAGCAGTGGCACGTACGAGACCCTCCTTTGTGAACTGGTGACATCATTAACTTCCCCCTTTATGCAACCTGTGTAGCTCTGTACTTGGCTAAGAATGGGCCCTAGTTGTTTGCATTAAAAACAAAACAAAACAAAAACAGACAAAAAAAAAAAAAAACCAAACACACAAACTACATTCATTCTAATCCTTAGTGCTATGTCGTTATGTTGAAAATGAAATTACTATCCAACGTTTTCACTGTAAAAAAACGTAAAATTGCGAATAACGAATAAATTCTATTTGTTCCATATGTTTGAACAGTAATCATAAGAAACCAAAAATGCATCCACTTAATCATAACGATTGGTAGTCTTTTTGTAGATACTGTTATGTTTAAACATTTCCATCCAATTGATAAATGAGAAACTCAATATTTACTAGTAATAGCAGCAAATTTATAAAGACCATAAATCAATATATAAAAAAAAATTTTACATTTAAAACATTAAATTTAAATTGGCGTGGGCATTCTGATTTGAGTAGGCATAGCCTATGTCAAAATAGGTAAAAGTGAAAGAAAAATAGACGAGAAAAATTAAATGACAGTTATTATTTAACGAAATCCTATTAAAGGTAGAAAAACCAGTTATACAACTTACATTGGAGAAGATAATATGTTTGCAGAATTGATTAGAACTGGTGACGGTAGATGTAAACCGAGACAGTGAAGAGGAAATTGACGATCACGTCACGGTATGCTTTAACGCCAGAGGGCGCTTCAATAGACGATGAATGTAGGGCTCGCGGGATTAGACGGCGTGTCATTGGGCATAAATTAAATATATCTCAGAGTATATTGTCTTTTTATAGTGGCTATAAAATTAATTAATTTCAAGCCGCATTCATTTTTTTATGCCTGATGTAAAGAGAAAGCTCTTCTGTGATTGGGTGATATGGCTTGCCAGCGTGTAGCCTCATTTACATACGCACGCGAGGCCCAGACTAGTAAGAAATAATTTAATAATATAATTTTGTTAATGAATAGCTTTAAAATGCATTAGTCGGGTGGGTAAAGGAAGATTCCATTTATAGAATAGCCATATATAAGCCTATTGGTGTTATTTGTACATCTAAATTGCTTCAAAATATAATTAAATACACCCTCAAGATAGTGAACGAGTGTAAAGGTTCACTCGTCTGCCGAATTTGGAACTGGTAATGACGAAGGTGGATTGCTCACTACACAATATTAATTAATGTCGAGCCCACTTTGGTTTGTTCTTCATGCATTTATCTGGTCAGCCTGTTAATAAATATTATTAATTCTACAGTACAGTTGCAGTAATGTCGAGTGTAACTAAACAGATTGCTGGTACATCCTACATCTTTAGGCATTAGTTATGACAATGTTGTACGACGAAGTCTAATTCAAATTTAAATCAGCACATTTTAAGCCGATTGAACATTGCACGATGAACAGGTAGCTTTGATTACTTGGCAGGTTAGATTAACCACGTCACTACTTCTCTGCATTCAATTGAGTATACTGACCATTTTGTTCTCATGATAGAATGTGGAATTTTATGAATCAAAAGCCATCAATATTATATCATTGTTATAATGATAAAAATAACATAATAATGATTTTTATCAATAATAATGTTAATAGTATTATAAGTAAACAAAGATACGTGTCTTATATCGACTAATGAATTTTCATGCTATGTGCAAAGTCT